GGTGGCCAAAGTCTACCCCTTTAATGGCTCCGGGGCTGGGGGAGAGGAGAGTAAGTTTTCCTGGTTGTGCCCAGAGTGGCCACCAGGGCTCCCTGGGAAAGGCTGGAGACCCCCTATTTCTAATTAAGTGTCTACACAGCTCTTAATTCGAAATAGCTATTTTGATTTTGGCATTACTCCTCATAGAATGAGGTTTACCAAATTCGAATTAAGCGCTTCGAATTCATTTCGAAATAGCAGTTTGCTTGTATAGACGCTATTAAAGTTCATTCGAAATAACAGCTGTTATTTCAAATGAACGTTGTGGTGATTTCAGCTCTTTATCCGCAGGGCAGGCCAGCAGAAAATAAAGAGACTCCTTGGGTACGTCTAGACTACAGGGTTTTGTCGACAGAAGTTTTGTCGACAGATACTGTCGACAAAGCTTCTGTTGACAAAGAGCGTCTAGACTACAACCAGTTCTGTCGACAAAGCAAGCTGCTTTGTCGACATAACAGTGTGGACGCAAAGGACAGTGTAGATACAATAATGCCTTCTATTGACAGAACTCTGTCAACAAAAGGTGTTATTCCTCGTAGAATGAGGTTTACATACGTCGACAAAACTGCTGAGTTTTGTCGACGTTATGTTGACATAACTCAAAGGCAGTGTGGACGCAGGTATAGTTTTGTCGACAAAAGTCCATTTTTGTCGACAAAACCCTGTAGTCTAGACACACCCCTTATGGAATATGTTTTAGGTCTATCCTTAGAACAGGGGGGAAGTGAGACAGGTTGAACCAGTCTCACAGCTCATGCCTGCAGAGCATGTAGCCAGCTAACGTCGTGTGGTGCTTCTCCCCACCCCATCCAATCCACTCAGGTCTGGAAGGGGGAGACTTGTCCATCTGAGACTCTTCGCAGTGACAGTGTCTCTCCTGCAAGCACTGGTGTCATAGTCTACAATTCCTACATTTAGGGTTAACATGGTTTGTGACCCTCACAATAGCCAAATTAGTTACAACAGGCAAAACATCATTCTAATAACTGAGCAGCTATCAGCCAGACAGCAGTAATTGAACTGGATTTACAAACCACACCCCGGATTTCTTTCCCCACCCCAGTGAACATAACCACACCCAGGACTCCTCTCCCCTTCCAGAAGCAGAGAGTCACACCCTGTGCACATGTGTAGTTGGCAGGATTACCAGATAAGCCTGGTTTATTGGTTAATTGCACAGTTGTTCATGCGATGGCATCCCTAAATTAACCCAGCCATGAAAGAGCAAATCCCAGCCACGGGGCATGTGCTGCATAGAGCAGCAGGAGACACCTCAAAGATGCCAAAGTCTGGAACAAAACCTCGCCCCACGGTAGGTTTTCCCCCTTCCCCTTTACCGGACGTGTGTCCAAGGAGTGAATCCCAGCTGGCAAGGGCCTAGATGCCACCGGCCTCCAGCTCCAGGCAGGTCCATGCCAAAGGCCCAGCATGCGAGGGCAGGGCAGAGTGACTCCAGGAAGGGCCCCCGCCCCCCCACCAGCACCCCTAGAACTGAGCTCATAACTTCAGGGTGAGTAGGTGGAGCCTCCAGATTGTTCCCAGACCGGAAGAGCCAAGAGCCTCCATAGGCCACATGAAAGATGAGGAGGGGGACACAGCTGTGTGCTCCCAGAAGGGATGGAACCTCTGGTGGAAGGGGTGGGCCAGCCCTCAGTGCCAGTAGGACCATGGTGCACCCCACTGCCCCCCACTTCAGAGCTGCTGGAGCACGTGACGTGATGATCCAGTGGCCATTTTATGGGTCCAGGGCTTTGGCTGTCACCACTACTGCAGGCTGCTGGCTCCCCAGCCCTCCCATCTCTTGGGTGGAAACACACGTCTCTTTCTCTCTCCTTCCTGACCGGGTATTTCCAGGCAGCACAGCTCTCGGCCGTCTCTGAGGAGAAACGCCAGGCAGGCCAGCAGAGGAAGTCTGACCACTGGGGAATTCATAGTGCAGGCAAATGGCCTCTCAGCCAGGGCCCTGACCAGGGTGGAGGGAGGGGGCAGGGCACAAAGCCATGGGGCAGAAAAACAGGGAGGAGAATCATAGAATCATAGAACTGAAAGGGACCTCAAGAGCTCATTGAGTCCAGTCCCCTGCCCTATCTAATTTGCCCTTAAATATCTCCGGCGATGGAGATTCCACAACCTCCCTAGGCGATTTATTCCAGTGTTTCACCACCCTGACAGGCAGGAAGTTTTCCCTAATGTCCAACCTCAACTTCTCCTGGCCAAAAAGAAAGAAAGAAAGAAAGAAAGAAAGAAAGAAAGAGAAAAACCCCACGCCTGGACAGTGAATGGGGTGTTTTCTGTGTGGTTGAACTCAGCCTTTGAAATGCAATTTCATTTCAATGTTCTTGGTTCGCTAACTGTATTTTGAAATAAATAATCTGGCAGAGGTTGAATTTCCACCAATAGGCCAGAATTAGCAGGGATCTCCCAGAAAAATCTTGATGTAGTTTAAGACCATAAGAGCAGCCATTCTAGGTCATAACACGTAGCCCAGAACCCTGTTTTCCGACTGTTATGGAGTGTCACTCATGCAGGACTGGTAGCCAGCTAGGCCTATTACCTACCTGGTAGCCTGCCCCTGAAAGGAGAAAGAGGGTGGTAGCTACAGAGGGGACTTTTCTGATGGCTCAGCATGACCTTGAGTCCTTTGGGAAGAAGGTGCCATGGGCTGGGGGTGGGTGACTCTGGGCAGTGGGGGGGGGCCTCTGGGCTTAGCCATGGCAGAGGCAGAGGAGACGA